ATAAAATAAATTCAAATAAACATTATTAAATCAAAATATCAATGTAAATTAGATTTATATTTGTGCATCTTTTGGTATATTGTATTTGATAATATGACGCCAAATATAAAAGATATGGACACTGTGATATTACTTTTGGATCAACCCTCGTATAATAAATGCACAAGTTCACATTATTAATAGCCAATAAGCACCAAATTTTTTTTTAGATAACACGAATAGCTGAAACCTGGATTAGGCGAAATAAACAAATTGTATTGAAGCTGCAAAAATATAAATCAATTGATACGTCCTGGTACTATTACGATTGTCGCATATCTGTGGTGATTTTCATTGATCTTTCTGTGATGATATATCCCATATCAGATATGCGATAATACTTTCCACGCCCCATCATATATCACTGCAGTAGGCAGAAATCAGGTCAAAATTGTTTTATTGAATTTTGACACTCTCAATGAAATTTACGTCATCAGACATGCGACAAGTTGCTTACATCATAGATTGCCTCGTACAATTGGTTATATCGTTTTCATGGGGCGTGGAAATCTCGGGCGCTCCGCGCCCTCGATTTCCACGCCCCATGAAAACGATATAATCAATACTACTCGGCATCTATGATGTAACCTATACGAAGAGAATTATAGATATATACTCGTACATATGAATGTGTCGAATGTCTATCTTTGTTAGCAAATGAAATTGTTTAGTTACACAGTATTGAAATACGAGTGGTCATCAAAAAGTTCACGAACTATCTCTATATTTACAAAATCGCAATTCAGATCAAAATGAAATTTGGCACACATAGAGTCATACATATGTTCTATAAATAGCATATGAAATGGAACGTTTTGCCCTATGTTTATGACGTCATAATGTGAAAATGACGTCATAAGGTGGATCACTTGTGGCAAAAAATGGTTAACTCAGTCGTATTCGAGAAACGAACGGCTGTAAAGTTAAACGTATATCCTAGAAATTCCTTTGTAGAAGTTTATAATAATTTGTACGCGGCTTATGAAGACAAAAGACTTGCCAAAAGTTTTGTCATTTATTGGATTGATTGTTCAAGTGAAGGAAGGGAGATGTTTAAAAATGATGTTTGTTCTGTTGCCCGGTGAAAGCAAACTGGTAGAAAGACGTGCCCTTTGTTAAGCAATTTGATTTGAAAGATCGCCAACTTACAGTTAGAAAAATAGATGAATATCTTTACAATAATATAAAACATAGTTTACTTTAGACTTTAAACATATCAGATATGATAAAGTGAAGGCACCCATACTTAATCCACATGAAATAAACGACGCTCAAAAGACAGTGGACTTGGGTTTTGATGGTCACCATGCTCATTCCACCCAAACTACTGCAGAGATAAGGCCATTTCTGACAAATGGATTGTTTTTGTTGCAAAAAATAACTTGCATGGCAAGAAATATAAGAGTCGAAAAAATTTTAAGCTTCTGTGACAGAACGCTAAAGAGCATATCACGTGATTGCGTGGATCACGTGATCCGCGCATGGGCAGAATGGTTGCAGATGTGCATTTAAATAGGAGAGGACTACGTTGAAACATTTTCAACACTGAAACCCATATCATTTCTTTTTCGGAAGTTATTCAATTAGTTCGCGAACTTTTGGATCACCCCTCGTATATCTGCTTCTAAATGAAAGTTATTTGTTACTTAACACATTACTAACAAAAAAATATTCCAAAGCAGATCATATGTAACATTAAACAGGAGACCGGAGGGGGGGGGGGGGGGGGCTGAATTTTAGACTGAAAGAAGTCGGTCTTTAACACACACACCCCATACGAAATAGGATTTTCAAGGTTTCAATTATTCAATTATCCAGCCCATTCTCAAATTGCTTCCGACGCCTATAAATGTAGATTATTATATAAGGCGTCATAAGACCCAATTTACCTTAAAAGTACACTTTTATGACAAAACATTAGCATCTTTCCGAGAAATACTGCAAGTCCATTAAGTCAAGGGTCATATAACAAAAATGATTTAAATGCACAAAATCATCATTAGCCATGTATCATACTGGTTAGTGTGTTAGTCTCAAAGCAGTGTGATACGTCGGATTTTATTGCAAGGGTTCGAGTCCCACGAATATCTTCTTAAATTTTTATAAAAGAAAAAAATTACGATATTTTGTTTTTCTCTCAGAAAAGTTTTTTCCTCATAATTTCATAATTTTTTTATAATGAAGTTAATTTAAATACTCAATTCACATATTGAATATGATTTCTTAATATCCGACGCTGTAGGTATTCTGCCCGCCCTGTTCCCCCATCTCCTTTTAGGGAATACTTATCTTTCAACTGGCGTTCAATTTTTTTTTTAACTTTTGTAAATTTTGTGGAAGATAATGAAAAGCGATAAGCCAAACATGAAAATGGCCTTGATACTATTTCTCAATAGATTGAAAGTATCAGAGGTTACGTAATCGAGTTAATCCAGTAAGGGGTTGTATGAAACCATTTACTATATTCAGAAGTTAAAAAATTAGAAAGATAGCATGATCAATTTATAATTGTCCCTGATTCTAAAAACATGCGACACCAATGGTTTTGCTTGTAAGTTTCGATCTTCTAGTTATGTTGTATTGTACAGGAACTAAGGTTTATTTCTGTATGTGGGTATTCAACTTATAAACATAGTTCCACAGATAAATTACATGGCGTTCCTGAGAAGTGTTAAGCAGCTGAGACTGCCAAGCGGCGCCCCTGAAAATACACCAAAGCATCAAATCATTTGCAACTATTATTATTAATGTATTCAAAACAAAATTAACTTCCTCTTAAAAACTTGTAAAATATATAACTTATGTTAGGCACCGTTATTTTTTATCCGGAAACTCAATACTTTTTGCTTCTATAGATTATGCACGCCCACCTTGGGGAGCAGTTCATGCAGCAACTTTTTATGAGATAATAAATTGATGAATATCTCCTGAAAATGGACGATCAAATTGAAACTTATAACAACCAATAAGAGAAGTTATAAAGAATTTTTTTTTTAAATTCCATTCGCGATTTTTATGTTCATTAGCAATTTGGAATTATTTCATCGAGGCAATGAAAAAATAACGCTCAATTTCTCATGTGCACATTCTAACACAACTATAAATAGATCGGCCGCTCCTGTGGCCAATAATGATGTGAGTTGAGTTAATATTAAATAACTAAGGCAATCTTTTAATAAAAAAAACTTTGGTTGTCCTCTCTTTACCGACCGTCTAAAAATGACCCGACTTAAAACTTTTTTTTACATTCCAGGACACGATATTTTATTTAATATTATCCCTCTTATTCCGTCAACAAATATGTTGAAATTTTCTGGATTTTTTTTTTCGACCTACCTAATGATACAATAAATTTACTCTGAGTCGGGAGAGGGTAAGCAAACGTTATTTTAAAGATAGCCTAACACGCATGAATTTATCTTGCTATCACAGGCACTTGTTTCAGAAATAGATTTTAACCCATAGTACTAATAATAGTGTTGTTATTATTATATTATGGGATAAAATATATTTCCGAAACAAGTGCCTGTGGTACATGTTATGAGTCATCTTTTATTCGTGACTCGTCAGTTTGAAATCAATCCATGATGTTTCGTTTTCGAGACTCAGTAAAAATTTCAACAAATTCAGATCAATGTTAATGGTTGCAAAACTCACGGATAGAAATTCCTCAGTATTGTATGCCAGTTTTAAAATATTTTTTTATTCACAACAATCCAACTGAATTTGAATCACCATGCCTAGAAAGGGATAAAAAAAAAATACACAAAAATTACTTGAAAACATGTGGGTTCAAGAAAATGTTTTACAACGTCTATTTCTTTAAAACTTACTCCTCACTAAAATAATTACAGTATTGTAAAAATAAACGTTTTGGGAGTACATCTTTGGGGAATCTGGATACTTCAAATTTTCTAAGAAACGTGAAAAGTGAAAAAATTGGAGATAACGAATAGTAGTCAAGCTAAAAGTCCATTAAAATACAAATAGGAGAAGAGCAAACACGGACCTCAAAACACCTGAGGTGGGATCAGGTGCCATGGAGGAGTGAGCATCTCCTGCTGACGGGTCACACCCGCCGTGTGCTCCTTGTCATGATCCGTCGTCAATTCAGTGTGTAAATAATGGCCTATGAATTAGTATGGAACACGTCAGACTCAAAAGATAAATTGTATTTGCTTCATTGTATCAACCACAGAAAATGATGACTTTAAAGGAGACTGCAGATTTTCTTGTTTCATCAACTTGTTTGTAAATAATTTACCTCTTTGTTAAAATTGTACATATGTCAAGCATGCTCTTTCGTATTGAATCAACTAATAGTATCTATGAGATATAATGAGATATAATCCCCGTATGCAGGTGATGAAGGTATATTGCTGCATAAGTAAGAGAAGTTGGCGATGAAAAGTTAAAGTCATCACGTTTATAATGGAGCTTTGTTGTTAGATTACCTTTATTACTCCTACAGTGACGTCATCATATACTAGCAAAGGGCTTCAAATTTAATCCTTTACTCGACAATTCGGGATATTGACCAGTGGGTTTTTTTTTAATGTGCAAACAAATACCGCGATGGGGCCTCGTTTTAAAGGTCCTAACCACAACTTGCTCTTAAAAGTGTTGAATTTTTAGCGATGTAAGAGTTGTCACATATACCTATGCTTTATCCACTTAGGCCAGGCGCAGCCGATGTTTTAACTCCATCACCATAAATAAACAACGCTATATGTGTGATATATATGATAAAATAAAATAGATGGTTTCTGATCCAAATACAATCAATAAATTCTAGTATATTATTAATATTCAATAATAAAAAAAACCTGATTCAGTAATTTTTTACATAACTATTCAAATTCGCATAAAATCGTTTTATCGATTTAAAATGAAATATGAATGAAGGAACGATTCAATTTACTTTCCAACTTTACAACCATATATTCCTTTAACTATCAGTCATGGTTTTCGTTAAACTTGTAATTTTCATATCTTGTATCGTTCCAGGAATTTTACAACAGTTCAACAAAACACCTTATTTTAATTCTTATCTTACGTCAGGTTGTAAAACAACATACGTGACCAGCTTGCTTCACTGTGGTAGCCTCTGCACTGAAGAAAATAAAGTGTCTTTCTTTTACAATCCGTCAAAGAAGTTATGTCGCTGGGATTGTGTTGTTCTATATTCGGGCAACTCTTCGCTGGAAGAAAGCGAATGGATTCGTTACGGTAATATCTTTATCAAGATTTCTTTATTTTTAAACCTTTTATCATATATTCAAGATCTAAATAAAAAGAGCGTAAGCTAGCTATATCTATATTCCGTCGGTTTTTTAGAAGTATATCTTTTTTACCAAACTAATAGTAAATAAAACACTGTTTCTCTGCCCTAACCGTGAAATTTTCTAAGCATATGTTATTCTATTTCGACCACCATTACATCATTCTGTCATAAATTTTGAAATATAGCAGTTAAAAATAGAATTGTTCTCTATGTCCGTAAAATGTCTCATCCTTTATAGTCTTCTAATTTGGATGAAGTCATTTCTGAGATAATGACAAAAAAAACAGTTACAATTATTGTATTTTTTTTTTTCATGTTTAGAACGTTCGTCTAAAGGAAACTCGGCTTTGGGACGGACGACCAGCTCCTCGTCAGTGTTTGCTTCTACTGACCCCCCGAGTCTAGCGGTGGACGGGATCCTTACTTCCTCAGTCACAGAGGGACGCCGTTGTTTTTTCTCCCAGTGGGAACCCAAACCGTTTTGGCAGGTTGATTTAGGAACCGTTCACAGTATCTCCTTTGTCAGGATTTATAACAGAATGGATGTCGTGGGTAAGCACTCTGCTTTCTGGTTTACAGCATCGCGGATTTTTTTTTTGGTCAATTTTTCTACAGTATTTGAGTCAAAGAGTGGATTCATTGTTCATGTCAAGTCAAGTAAATGTTATTTATAGTCGACACATACATACAATACAACAGAAATAACATGAGCTGTGATGAGCTCTTTAAACGACTTTAACATATTTACACAAAGATAAAAATTAGTGAAAATAAACATTGTTAGTAAAACAAAAGACAATTTAAATGAAACAATTTAAAATGACACTTTAATTAAGGGTAAAGAAAAAAAATCACAGATCATAACTAGCAACTATTACAAATAATCAAAAGCACAGTACAGACATAACATTTACAAAAACTGACAGAAATGTGAGCTGAACAACAAGGAAAGCAACATAAAAAGCAATTAATACATATACTTTGCACACATTTTTTATCTTTCCGTAAACTAAAAAAGGAAGCAGCATGAATTGTTTTGCACACGGATGATTATCGCAGTCAAAAGAAAAATAAAGCTCAAGACCTAATAAGCACTGATTATGCTGATGAAAATAAAAAAAAATAAAATAATTGAGAGAAATGAATAATATATGCTTGTCAAAAGCACAGTACAGACATAACATTTACAAAAACTGACAGAAATGTGAGCTGAACAACAAGGAAAGCAACATAAAAAGCAATTAATACATATACTTTGCACACATATGGACATTCAAAGAACATTAAAAAAATAATAATAATAGTAGAAGAGAAATAATAAATAAACGAAACAAAAGCATTCGCACACAAATATTTCAAGTCACCACAAAAGAACACAAAAGGCTTCTCAGACACAGGCAGCATGTACTGGTATTTACATACACTACAGTTGCATTTCTGATATCCACACCAGGTAGATATGTCGTTCTTGAATACATTAAAGGACGTGGTGTTTCGGATATCATTATAAAGATATATGCTTGGAATTTTTTCAGGATTTGCCTTCATTTTATTATTTGAGAACCATTTGATAAGAGAAAAACTGTCTTCCTGTAAGGAGTTTATAACATTTTGTAAAGTTTTGTGAGATTTTGCTAAAGTATTGTCATCTGCATAATTGTAGAGGGACAGGTTTTTAACAAAAAAGAACAGGTCACTAATAAAAATATTAAAAAATACAGGTCCAAGAATGGATCCTTGAGGAACACCTTTCAGAATATCCAACATTTCACTTAAATGGGAAGCAACCTTAACACACCGTTTCCTATTTGATAGATAACTCTTTGACAAATCTAATGCTGGATTGGACAGGCCATATGCTTTTAGTTTTAAGAGGAGTAGATCATGGTTAGATCATGGTCCGTGAATAGATTATTCTTCGGCGAATAAGGGTCTTATTACATTCTAAAGTGTTAAAATGGTTTACCGTTGTAGAAAAACTGGAAACACAAAAAAATGTGGACAGAGGATGAAAGCAAAACTTATTCACCTGTATTGTTAGTTCATGCTCGTCGATAGGTGCAGGGTTTAAGAAAATAAACACGCCCCGGAAACGTTTGTGTTCACAGGGCCCGAGGTCTGTTTTTAATAATGTGTATGTTTCACTCAGAACATTTACTGTAGAAATGAGAGAAAGCAAAAACAACTACAGGTATAATGTCTAGTGATGTTCAGATTATTTATATCGTGGGTCTTAGAAGTGACGACTGCTTTTTCCGTTATGACAAGGGGTATAAGGAGGGTGTGACCGGTCGGCAGGGGATGCTCACTCCTCCATGGCACCTGATCCCAACTCTAAATGTTTTGGAGGTCCGATTTTTTCTCTGCTGTTATTTGTACTAATTAATGGACATTTTAGCTTGAATACTGTTCGTTATCTCAATAGATTTCATTAAAACCTATTATTTCATTATTAAAATGACAACATGGATCGAAATTTTCCGCAGTTCCGACGTAGAATTATAATCGATGCTGATTCCCTAATTTCTCAGCGCTCGGAATTTCAGTCCCGTGAAATTCTAAGTTAAGGTCATACGCAACGTAGCTTGAACTTTGTTGGGTTCTTCCCTGGAGTTGAAGAGTTCCACTAAATGAAGGACAAATAATGTGCAATATTTTTAATGTCTATAAATGGATTTGCACACCTCTTCGAAAACAATTTTCGATGAAAAAAAATCTGGAATTTAGGCCAGGTAAAATTAATCTTTAGATTCTCATCCTAATTTGCAAAACAATTGGGGCGGGTGGGCGGATTTTATTTTTTATATTTTATAATTGTTAATTTATATATATGCCTAAGTATCAACAAAACAATGGACGCCCCGTACACATTTTTTTCATTACCTTAATGCAAATATGAATAGATTTAATTCTTTTCATATTCTTTTAAATATTTAAAGAATTTTTTTTTTCTTTAAAAGTTAAATATTTATTGTTAATTAACAAATTAACAAGTACACATTATACTGCACACCCTTAACAAACTGAGGTGTGGATACCAATAAATTGTGTATGCGTGACTTCTTAATTTGAAAATTCTATATAAATGTTCTAATAATTATTCTACTGAAAAATCTAGCCCTTCTCTATATAAGTCTGTCTACGATGTTGTAGATTTTTTTTTTTTTTTTTATTTCAAAGCTAAGTCACACAACTGGAGATCGTTATATATAACTTTAAAAAGACTTTCCTCGTCTATTTTTACTTAGTTATAATCTCTCTACATACTTGCTCCTGCCAGTGATGGTTCTATATGTGTTTATGCTATTTTTTTCTTCTTGAGCCTTCTCTATACTGACAAATTATCTTTTCCTTACACATTTAAACTGCTTTTATTGCCGATTTTTCTCCATTCTTCACATGGCGTTTTTGCTATAAACGCGAATTTTAATAAGATCGGGCAGATAACTCTTAAACTTTGACCCAAATTCTTACTGAATAAAAATACAAGAAAATACCCAAAAATCAAAATAAAAAACATCGGGGCGGGACATTTTGAGAGGGGCGGGCGGGGATGAGAATCTAAAGATTAATTTTATATGGCCTTATGTTTCATAATTTCACATCAAGACTTATAATACATGTACATATTTACTGGACAATTTATTTTAAAAAATGTTATTAAAATCAGATCTTTGTTACGCTTGAATTTCTGATGATCACTTTGTACAGCGACTATTAGAATTTCGGAGGGTAACAACGATCTGATTCAAATCAGAATTAAAAAAAAAAACAATTATTTTCTCCCGATAAGAATATATTGCTTAATTTGCTCAAGTCGTTTTCAAATAAATAAAAGTATTTATGTTTTTACTGGTTCACGGCATCGCCCCTCCCCTCCTCCACATATTCACACATAAACGAAATTGAAAATGAGTCTTGTCAAAAAGATATTTCTAGATATTTCATACAAAACCAAAATTATAACCGCAAATTCTCTTGATTTTAAGTATAACGCCCGGTGTTTTTTTTTTCTATTTCTACATGTACGAGTTTCCCTCCCCGTCATTTGCTTGTTCTATGAACCTGCTGTAGCTATTTCCTTTTGAAATATTTTGTTTTATTGACAACATGTGAAAGGAATATTGAAATGATATACAGTGCAATGTATATTTGATTATCTTTTCTTTTTAAATTAGAAGATCGATAATTTTGAGACCAGTTTGTTTTCATTTCTCCTTTATTTTCAGTAACAAGTGAAAAAAAAACATTTATTATCTTTTTTTCCTTTTGTGCAAATTACGCAATGGCCGATACATTTCCCCAAAGTATATTTTTCATGTTTATTAATTAATTGGACTTTAAAGAGACACCGTGACACACAAAGGGGAAAATTGACAAATGTAGAATTTTTGCATGTCTAACCCGTATTAATCTTATTCAATTCCTAAAAGTATAAGGTTTCAGAAAATTACAGGTTTCAGAACCTAAAAAAATCTATTTTTATAGAGAAAAATAAAAGTTAAATAAATTTTACTATGCCCCATAACGAAAATATTGCTAAATACTTCTTCCCTATTGTATGCGTGCGCAGAAAAGATGAATAAGTTACCAAGTTCTCAAGTACCCAGGAATGAATGTAAGTAGACCAAAACATTTTAATTCAAGTTTGTTTTTTTTTAAAGTTGTTAGAACAATATTTGCTTATTTTTAATCTGTTATAACATGCTCCATTTGAATGATGCTTACAAGTTTTCGTTAAAACTAAAAATAAAACAAATGGAATTCATGACCTTTGATAACGAATTAAATTCACATGAAAACAATATAAACAAATATAGATACAACCTTTGTTTGCCATTTTAAAAAATTTGTTATAACAAATTATGTTATTAAAATCAATTCTTATAACACGTTTTAGAATTTTAAAACTGTTAATTGTATCAACAAATTTTTGAATTGGCAGCTCAACAAATTTGTTATCAATACCGAATTCGCGCATTAAAAGCTTTCTAACGACTTAAATATATTGAATTTGGGGTTCGTTTTTCAAATTTCAAAAGTATTTTTCTAGGTCCGCTACGGGCTTCCTTAGGGTGCGCGCCAAACAATTTTAATGCAATTTTTTTTAAAAAGTTGTTAGAACATATTTCTCCCCTTTGCATGCTCCAGTTGAATGATGCTTACAAGTATGAGCTAAAAATAAAAGTGGCGTGACTTTGACATACATGAAAACAACGAAACGGTTTTTTGTTTTTCCGGTTGTTGTGCATTTTTTTTCTTGCAGTTTAATTGTCATATCCTAGCTATATACTCATAATTTTCATAAGACTTTCTCTGTATGCTACAGATATCGTAAATGAAACATGTTTTGACTCATTGTGTTACTTTAAATTAAACTTTGTATGGAGATATAATTTTAGTTTTTGTTTATTTTTGAAAATAAAGAAAATGAATTTATAAATATATCATGCTGGCGATGTAATAAAATATATAAAAAATTATATCTTAATAATCATTTTAGACACAGATTTCAAGCTAATATTTTCTGTATAATATCACGACTTATATATTTTAATAGCATTTCACACGAAAATAAATTAAAAAAAAAAACATATGTTATTTTTAAATTTTTGGATGTGTTTGATTGTCACATCATTGCACTTTGACAAATTTTAATTTTATTCTTAATTAATAGGAAAAGTTTGTGTATTACAAGAAAAAAAATTACATAATCCACAAAATATATTGTTCGAAAAAAACGTACACACAGTATATCGCCATGTGTGTTCAGGATTACAGCCGGTTTCAATTAACAAAACAGGGCACGAGCTTGATATAATGTGTTCAGAAAATGTACATAACACTAATATCAATGAAAGGGGTGTTGAATAACATTAAATTTTGTAAAGTGCAAACTGTGTGCTCATAAAATTTTAATTCAATAACTTTTTTTAAAATTGTTATTTTCGAATGAAATTTTCACCATATATCCTCTGATATTAACTTCAAAAAGGATATGTAAAAATAATAGACTGGAAACATGTACACATACACTGTTTGATTTACGTTAAAAAACGCGCTGAAAAGTTGTTTTATCCCAATACATTTGTTTGCCATTTTGATTGGTCGATGCACTGATTGGTTAATTGCTAATCCTGATTGGCAGCTCTCTTATGTAATACCGAACGCGCATTCGCTTTCTGGGACTGCAACTGAATTTGGGGTTCGCTTTCAGTTCGCTCTGTTCAAAATTCGCTTGGGTGCGCTGGGTCCGGGACCAATCAGAATATATGAGAGCGAATATACCTGGGTTTCTGTTAGGTTGTGTACGGTCGGTCTTTCTTCAGCAAAATTTCAAGGACATTGTTCCCTATAATTAAAAATTTGCATGAAACACTTGTTCTAATTATTACAAAACATCCTTTTCTCTTATATACAATGTACATGTACCCCAGAGTAGAAAATTGACCCATCGGCTGCCATACAATGCATGGATTTTGTGTGATTGGGGGATTGACATTCCTTATATAATTCCCGTATGTAGTCTGTGGGATTCATATCCGGGGATTTGGCAGTGTATCGTCACAAAGATGTCTTTTAGTAGATATCCTTCGGCGTTCAGCACGTACATGTAAGTGTACCGCTTTAAGGGTGATTCAGAGTCTTTGAGATGAAAAGAGACTGCTACGAGCACAAATGTCTGAACATTTTCTTTACCATTGTATTTGTTTGTTTAAATGTTTCTGAAATAATTTCAGGACAATTTCACAATCTTTTAACCTGTGCTGGGAAACCTTGGCCTCAAGATCCAGAACATCTCCGGTTTGGTTAAATTTTGTCCAAAGCTTTCAAATTGTTATAACTTGACGATGAAAATTGACGAACATCCAAAATATTTTTTAAATGTGTGGTCAGCACATTGTAAATTTTTTAAAAGTTATGTCACGGACAAATAAACACTGAAATAAAAGTGCGTAAATCACAGTGCAAGGATGATACAGATATGAACATTTCAAAAGCTCTCCCCCCTTTTTCAATGGTCATTTCGCCTATGTTTTGTGTTTTTTAGTTAAACCAATTTTTAAAAATTGACAATTGCCACAAAAAAGATATATTGCTAATAACACATAGCACGTGGTGCAAAGTACAAATTTATTGTTTTTAAGCTTCATCACGTGCGCGGAACTTTGATTTTCATCAGTGATAATTGATTTCTTTAACAATTGTTGAGAAGACTCAATGGTTACAAATAAATATCATACTATTCTATCATGTAGTTTTTGAATAAATACATTTATAAGACTGAACACTTCGAAGTTTTGTTAAGTGAATATGCACATTCATTGTTTTTATAACAAACATCCTTTATAGTTATTTATATATTAAGTCATCATTCTATCTCCAAATGCATTGTCTTCAAGAGCAAAAATATATAGTAGATAAGATTTTTTGTATTATTTAACATAACTGTCTGCATTTCATTTCGTGTAACTGCATAATCTCTTTGTTTTTACACAGGAGAAAGATTTCGAGATGCCTCCGTTTTAGCCTCTGTTGATGGGGTAACGTTCAGTACTTGTGGATCTTTCAAAGGACCCGGGGTCACAAGACAAATTATCGACATAGCCTGCGCAAAAGGCACCGTTGGACGATTTGTTAAAGTTCAAATTCTAAATAATTTTTTACAGATGTGTGAGGTTCAGGTTTACACACTGTGATTTTCTTTCATTTTTATCTCCTCATGTACACATTTGTAAGACTTACGAGGGCTGTTCAATAAATAATTTCCTGAGCCCTATTACATACAATATAGAAATCATATGACATAAAGCTTGACTTTCTTTCATGATTGAATTTTTAATGAATTTATTACAGTTTATGTGTCCACTTTTCACCATATATTTCAATGGTGAGAAGCTGGAAAACAAGTGATATTCGAATCACTTCATTAAAATTAATGATAAAGAATCAGTAAACTAAAGTGAAATTAAATGCTTCATGAAAACTGCTGTAAATCTCGTTAAGAGTCCCAAAGAAATAATCAGTGAAATATGTGAAATTTACAGCAAGCAATGTCTGTTTTATAGACACATGAGCAGGTTGATTTCAATGGACAAAAATTATATAATGGGCATCAAAAATGGGTACCGTTCTTGACGACAAAGAATTGCAACAACCAATTTACTGTTTGCCAAAATTCAACAAATATCACTAATGATGTTTGATTGACTTCAATACACATAGCAAAATTGATCATTTGGGGGATAGTTTACACTGTATTTAAGAAACTTTTGACAGTAAAGAAAGCTTAGTACTCAATGGTCACTCTATGTTTTGAAAATGAGTGAAAACGACAGCGTGTACGAATATCTAAATAATTATCTAAATAACCAAAACTGTAGATTTCCACCGTTGTTTGAAATTCAAACAGATATTGAAATCTGAATCCTTTCCCTTAAACCCTCAAAATAAATTTACCAGTAGATGCACTTGACAAACGCAACCAAGGTCTGAGAAGAGCAAAGAATTGCAAAAGCACAAAAACAGTTTGTTTTATCTGCCATTTTCTTACATATTAGTGGTCTTGTTGTTAAATTTTTTATTCGGTGAGGCAGTTTAATTTCTGAAGAGGTCTAGAAAGCAATTTTTTGCAAAAAAAAATGAAAGGTTTATAAGAGGACGGAACCAAAATCAGGAATCCACTTCATTAGATTTCTTCATTATAGCGTCCAAACCCACCCACCATGAAGAGTAAAGGAGTTTTAGGTTTAAACAGAAAGATAATGTTTTTCACCAATATTATTCACCACATCTTTCACCCTTTGACTTGTTTCAATTTCCAAACTGAAAAAAACCTTTCAGAAAGAGGAAACAAGTCCAGGAAATCATAGGATCTGCCAGTATACGAAGGGCCATACTCAAAATGTGTTTTAAAAACAATCAGAAATTGGATAAAAATGTTACGAACACGTGTTTTAATTAAAATAGAATATTTAAGTGAAATCATTATGGCTGAATCATTGAAAGGCTTTTTTGTTTCTTTCCGAGCACCAGGGCATTATTTATTGAACAGCCCTTGTAATGTATATTTGGTCCAGTTTCCTACTTTAAACGTTAATGTTTCAGATAAATAAATTTTAACTGTTCCCTTTTACCGGTACTTGTAAATAATCGATACTGTTTTAGTCAATGTAACCTTATAAGTTATGAATTTTAATGCTACTCATTTTTTGTGTGAATTTTACATTTTGACAAAATGAAAAAAAAATGAGCACGTTTTCCAATAATTATATAAACATGTACAAACAGTGCTATCATGTTTCTCTTTTAGTTTTATATATTGATTACTTGCCAATTGTACAACTTGGAATTCAGAAAGCATCTTAGTGGTTCCTTTTTTATAGACTAGGGGGTTCTATTTTGCTTTTTTGTCAATTTTGAGTTTCATAATCACAGTTAGTTTTTGCTGCCTAATGTTTCTGCCTGCTGTGCATGAAAGCAGAACTGAGTGTACAATTAGTAACAATGCATTATTTAATCATGATTTATATCTACTATATTTAACACTTAAAGCGATATTTGTTGTTTTCAATCTTAATGTTTCAGGAGTATAAGGGTAAATCAGTTCTTTAATTATCCTGTTGTTGTGAGTCTTTTTTATTCTATATAATTGTTTTCGAAAAATTACTATATTGACAGAAGTGAAGTTACTAACAATATTATTTAAGAAGTGGTGTGAATCAGATGTGGATACTCAAAAATTCCAAAGAAATTTTAGACAAATTGAAATCACAAGAATTTACCAAAATCAACTGCTTAAAAACTATACAATAAAAGTTTATACACAACCATATCCCAGGTAAAACTTCAAATATATTGAAGTGGTGTGAATCAGATGTGGATACTCAAAAATTCACATTTGCAAAAGTATTTTGTTAAAACACATTCTGATTGCACACACAAGTACTCTGAAGTTGACATCAAAGAGATGCTTGATTTTCTGATTGAAAATATCTATGTGGTTTTGGAGACCAGGTATTCCAACAATCTATTGGAATTCTAATGGGTACCAATTGCGCTCCGTTATTAACAGACCTATTTTTATATTCATATGAAGCAGAGTTAGTGAAAAATCTTATGCGTGAAAAGAAGAAAACACTTGTTGTGGCCTTCAACTCGTTATTTAGATATATCGACCACGTATTGTCAATTAACAATATGGTAATTTCCATTCCTACGTCGATATATATCCTGGTGAGCTTGAGATAAAAGATACCACAGAGTCTGACACATCTGTTTCATACTTGGATACTTTACTTGAAAAAGACGTTAATGGTAATCTAACAACCAACCTATATGATAAACATGATGACTTTAACTTTTCTATCGTCAACTTCCTTTACTTTTGCAGCAATATACCATTGTCACCTGTAAACGGAGTTTATCTATCTCAGTTGATTCAATACGCAAGAGCATGCTCTACGTATGAATGATTTCTAAAAGCAGGTAAATTACTGACAAGCAAGTTGATGAAACAAGAACATCAGCAGTCTCGTTTAAAGTCATCATTTCGTAAGTTCTGTGGTCGATACAATGACTTTGTCAGCAAATACAATTTATCATTTAGTCAAATGCTGACTGACGTTTTTCATACTAATTGTTAGTCCATTATTTATACACTGAATTGACGAAGGATTTTTCCGTTATTTCCTGATAAAGACAAGGAGTAAACGGCGGGTGTGACCGGTCAGCAGGGGATGCTCACTCCTCCATGGCCATTGATCCCCTCTCTGATGTTTCGGATGTCCGTGTTTGCCCTGCTCCTATTTTGTATTGTTTCATGGACTTTGAGATTGAATAATGTTCGTTATCTCCATATCCTTCTTCTTCATGCAATATCTTTCACATGTATACAAAGAATGCTTTAGTTTGCATATTTGGCATTTCCCATTTCCTATGGTCTTTGCAGATATGCATTAAATTTCACATCTAAACTTACAGGAACTGAGTATAAATTCTTAATTGGGGGGGGGGGGTCTTGTACATGTATTTGGTAAATCACTCTCAAATGTTTACATCCATGGGGAAAACAAGTTAAAGTATTCGCTTACCGAGTCTTTCAAAAATATTGATATCCACGAAAATACGTGCCAGGACCCAGAATATTTTTGTATTGCCACTCACTTTTATCACCAAAGAAAAAAATATATCACATATTATAGGACTTTTACAGTTTACTTTGACATTTAAAGCTGTATCATGTACTGAAGAACAGAATTTATAATAGATCAGAAACTCTTTCTATGATCAAAGAAATGATGTTAGGGGCACTAACGTTTGAAGGCCGGATGTTGAGAGTAGGATGATTGTAGTTTTCTTCAAGGACAGCTTCTCTGTCCTTTGAAATAACGGACTATTTTCGTTGAATTAATTGTTGAGCTAAATATTTCTGTCGTTAGATTCCGTACACTGTCCTCGTGTAAAGGTAAGCCGTCAACTGAAAAAGGCAGGGCTTCTTGCAAAAGTCCTAAAGACTCACCATTCCTACTAATTTCTTTTTACAGTTTTTTTTTCTGCATAAAAGACATGGATATAACGAATAGCAAGATCAAAAGTCCATAAAACCATACAAAATAGTAGCAGAGCAAACACAGACCTCTTAAACATCAGAGGTGGGATCAGGTGCCTAGGAGGAGTGAGTATCCACTGTCGACCGCGGTCATCCCCGGGGCTCCTTGTCATGATACGGAAATAACGGGAAAATCCGTCGTAAATGCTTTGCGTATATAATAGATTAACAATTAATATTAGTATTTAAAACGTCAGTCAGCATTTGACTCAGTAATTAATTGTATTTGATGACAAGGTCATTGTATCGACCAATGGAACTTACGAAATGATTACTTCAAATGCGACTGCTGAATATTTTGTTTCATCAACATGTTTGTCAATAGTTAACCTCGCTTTAGAAATTGTTTATACGTAGAGCATCCTCTTGCGTATCGAATCAACTGAGATATATAAACTCCACACGCAGGTGATGAAGGTATATTGCTGCATAAGTAAGGGAAGTTGACGATAGAAAAGCCAGTGTAATCACGTTTTTCATAGAGCTTGATTGTTAGATTTCCATAAACATATTTTTCAAGTAAAATATCCAAATATGAATATGTCAGAGTCTGTGGTATCTTTTATCTCAAGCTCACCAGGATATATTGTATGGACGTAGGAATGGAAATCACCATTGTTTATCGACAATACGGTCGTCGATATATCTAATTCTCGAGTTAAAGGCCACAGCAAGTGTGTTTTTCTTTTAATGCATAAGATTTTGCACAAATTCTGCTCTATGTGGATACAAAAAAGGTCTGCTAATAACGGAGCGCAATTGGTACCAATGGGAATTCTTATAGATTGATGGAAGATCTGATCTCCAAGAACGACATATATGTAGATATGGTCAATCAGTTGCTCAAGCATCTTTAATTCGTGATTTCAACTTCAGAGTACTTGTGTGTACAATCAGGTTGTTTTTAACAAAATAATTTTGCAAATGACCAATGACAAAGTAAATAAGTTTACGATTTCTATTTTTGATGAAAAGGCAGCTGTCAATTATATCAAATGCATGGACTTTAATTTATCAGTGGGAGTGGTTGTGTAAAAAGTTGAAAAATTTTACGTTTTTAAGCTGTTGATTTTAGTAAAATCTTGTGATTTGAAATTGTCCGAACGTTCCTTGGAATTTTTAACTACCCACATCTGATTTACAGCACTTCTTGAATGTGTTGTTGCAATCATTGATTAAGGGTTTTCAGTCCAAGCAATAATGATCAACTTTAATTAATTTTTGCTAACGGAAGGGTGTTGACAGTTATAAGAATTTCAGTACAATTTATTAATAAGTTATTGACTCCATATCACTGTTTGCGATGACATAAGAACTGGATTAATTGTGCACTTTGATGGACCAGCTTTATATATAATGTTCAAATTCAGTTTTAGCTATCTTATATCTACTTCACTCAACCGATACATGTATTTTTTCATGAAACATATCGAGATAGGAACAGTATTCACGAGTCCATAAAACAATACAAAATGGGAGCAGAAGAAACACTTTTGTAGAAATTGTTCATACGTAGAACATGCTCTTGTGTATCAAATCCACTGAGATATATAAATTCCGTATGCAGATGATGAAGGTATATTGGTACATAAGTATGGGAAGTTGACTATAGAATATTGAAATAATCACGTTTATTGTAGACCTTGGCTGTAAGGAGTCTTTTTGAAGTAGAATATCCAAATATGAAACAGATTTGTCAGACTCTGTGGTATCTTTTTTCTCAATCTCACCAGGATATATCGTATCGACATACCATACAAACGGAAATAACCATTGTTAATTGACATTACATCGTCGATATGTCTTATTGTCGCATTGAAGGCCAAATAAAGTGTTTTCTTCTTTTCACGTAAAAGATTTTGTACAAATTCTGCTTCATGTGAATACAAAAAAGGTCTGCTAATACCTGGGCGCAATTGGTACCCATGGGAATTCCAATAAATTGTTGGATGACCTGGTCTTCAAAACCACATAGATATTGTCAATCAGAAACTTGAGTATCTTTTTAATATTCACTTTTGAGTACTTGTATGTACAATCTTAATGTTTTTCACAAAGTTATTTTGCAAATTACCAATGACAAAGTAAGTAAATTTACGAGGTCCAATTAATTGAAATAGCAGCTGTCAATACTGTCAAAAAGCCTGGGCTTTAATTTATCGTTGGGAATAGTTGTATATTTAGTTTTAAAATCGTACGTTTTAATGCTGTTGATTTGGTAAATTTTGTGATTTCAAATTTTCCAAAAATGTCTTGGGATTCTGTAGCATACACATCTGATTGAAAGCACTTCTCGAATATATTGTTGCACAGTACTATTGAAGTTTCTCTTTCGCCGCCACTATTAATTTTTTTTATTGAGGAAATAGAGGCTTTGTAGAACATTTTAGACTAGCTTTCAGCTGTGGAATTACTACTTTCACATTCTGAAATTATTACAAAATAAAAAAACGCATGAAAAATACCGAAGATAATTTTCTGATGATATTTTCTTAAATGATGAAAAAGTTTGGAGTTGAAACGATTTCGTTTGTTTTGTCCATAGGGACCTCTGCTCTGTTTAAGTTTAAACAAAGTAACTAATGTCATTCTAAATAACGCCACACTGTAACTATGTTGTCACTGAACTGCCCAACCCAGAGTCGTCCGTCTCGGTCCACTGATACACTGGATGGATTCTGGACGCCATTTTCGTGAGTAAGAAGCAACTTAATAAACTGTCCATCTTTGTCTATGATATTGATTCCGTCACTTCCACATACTATAATGTTAGAAAGAGCATCGTGGCAAATACCGCATGGGTTAAAAGAGGCTTCAGAATCTGTGTTTAAACCCATGTAATTGAAACGGTGGATTCCATTTTTGTTGACGACGATAACTGCCTGTATTAGCATGTCCGATACCCAGATATCACCATTGTTGTTGACCGTTATGTAATGTGGTTTTTTATAAAGTTCTTGTCCTTCAGGATTTGAGAATATTCTCTGCAGAAGATGACCTTCAATATCATATCGAGAGATGCAAGCTTTCTCTCCAGCGTTCATTCCAGCAATAACCTGCTTTGTATTTGTTGAATAATGGATGCAAACAGGTTTCCAGTCTTCTGTTTCTGTAAAAACATTTATTTTCCCATCTGATACCTTTTTGATGACATTCTCCTCCTTGAAACCAGTGAACAGCACGGCTTCCTCGAGTACTGAATGGAATCCATATCTGTTTCCTCTGGATTTGAATTTTCTGTGCGCATACCCTACAACATCTACTAGAAAAAGGAACTTCCCATCACTTACCCAGGCCATTCCGTTAGTATCACAAACAATATGACCTATGTACGCTAGGTCTTTTATAACAAAATGGCAAACCGCTTCCACTTCGCCTACAACTAATCCAGATGTTTGATTGGTGATTAAACAGTCGCTTTCTATATGGCTCAGTTTAAAATCTTTTGAAACTAACGATTCTAATCTTTTCGAGAAAAGCGGGTCTTCTCCAACAGCTGAAAGAATGGCAGTGTCCTCTAATTGCATTTGTCTTATTTCGTTCTCTTTGCAAAACACTAAAAATTTCTCTGGATCTTCTTCTTTACATTTTTCATATTTTGCAATCTTTGCTGATTGGACATCTATTTCATTTTTCCTTGCCTCCAGATATCGATAAATTTCTTTTGTCGTGTTTTCGATGCAGGCTTGGATAGTCTGTTTTACAGACTTTGCATTTTTATCCAAGATAATTTTGATAGCATCAGATTCTTCTACAAATCCACCAGCTTTACGCTGATATTCCATTATCCTCTTGTCGCAGAACTCCTTCACTTTTGTGAACATTGTAGAAATATCGCAGAGTCTATGATCACTGTGTTCATAAACCAAACATCGATCACAGATCGGAAGTTCACAATTTTCACAGCATGCAATATAAGGCTCTCCGTGAATGGCACATATTGCTGCGGGTGTCCTTCTTTCCAGATAAGGCACAATTTTATGATTTTCTGAGGATGCTTTATGTGTGATTTTGCAGACATCACAGAGAGCCAATAGACATGTCTTACAATAAGATGTTACATTTCCAACACAGTCGCTCTTTCCACATTCAACGTAGTGTTGTGCCCGCACATCCATCTGGCAAGATATTTTTTAGATGTGATTCAAATACATGTACATAGTATACATTAGATTATGTGCGAATGAGAGATAAATATACCGACAGTGAGAAAGAGTCGGGAAGTATATATATAGGACAAACCACTTTGGACATTAATCTCTGAACGACCCTCTTCCTTCTTCCTCGTCAAATATACAGTAAACGCTCAGGAAGTCAGTAGATCAGTCCTAAACACTCTAATGTGTGTTGTTCTTTACCAGTTTCCGGATATTGTTTCCCCTGGGAAAGCGTATGTTACAAAAATTCCATCTTTATTTAATCCAATTATTTTTTTTCGACGTTCGTCGGTGTTGTTTCTTTTCAGTGAAAATAATAGTACTTATACGAGGAAACACAGGTTTAATATTTAAGTGTTTTAAAAATATATTGTTTAACAAATAGCTGTTGTATTTCTCTAATATCGTTCACGGTAGCTGTTGTATTTTTCTAATATCGTTCACGGTAGCCTAGTGGTAGGGCGTTCGCTTCGTGATCGGGAGGTCCGGGTTCGATTCTCGTTCCCGGCGCCGCGTCAAACCTTAGACGTAAAAATAGGTAGTGACTGTTCCTTCGCCAAGCGCTCGGCATCAGAAGTGAAAGTCACGGGTCTTTCGAATATGACCTTTAAAACGTAGGTCCCGTGTCACGGTAGGCGCTGGCACGATAAAGAACCCTCACTGCTCAAAGGCCCTGAGTGCCGAGTATAGGTCTAAATTTGAAGCCCTTCACCGGCATACGGTGACGTCTCCTTATGAGTGAAAAATTCTCAAGAGAGACGTTAAACAATATACAATCAATCAATCTAATTTGTTTTTAAATTAAGGTTTGTTTTAAGGAGGCCAGGGGGTCAACAAATTATTTTTTTATTAACCATCAGATATGAATTTGGGATATCTTAAGCTGTCAACTATCATTTGTCAAAGAAAAATTTCATAAATTTTAGTTTTAAAATTTAATTATTTTGTTATACCTTTATATGGAGCTCTTCTAAAAATGGTCACAACCACCCAGCCCCTTTAAGAAGACTATATTACTTTACACGTTATCTGAGGAACCATTCAGAACCTCACTATTCAAAATACAGTATACTCAGATGAGTGAAGAATTGGTATGAAAAAAACTTAATAATGATTTATGGCGTAACAATAATTAAGTGTCGATGATAAAATTTAATTTGGAAGACAGGTGATAACTTAACATTAAAAGCGTACAGAATTTAAAAAAATGTTTATCATTTAAAAATTTTGAACACTGTTAAAAAATAACTAGTTAAAGTCACGAAGAAAACTAGTAGATTCACTGTCCATACAATCACTACCTCAATAGTAGTTTTACCAGATATTGGTATATTTACTAGAGAAGATTAGTAAATTTAGAATTGATAAGTAACTTTCACTAGGTATCTAAGTATCTATACGACCCCCGCTCCACAACTCACTATCTTAACCAGTAAACTGAAAGTTTACTATAAATCACGACCAACGCTTTACGAAACACACTAGTTAAATTCACTAGGTTTTTCTTTCAGTGAATTATTAAAGAGACTTTTATTCTTTGTATTTACTTGGATGAATTTCCATTATGTTCCAGCTGTATAATTACCTAACTTAAAATATATTTATTGATTATTTTAATTAAATATAAATGAAGAAAGCCTCGATTATTTCCAACTGAAATCATCCAACAGATTTCTGGCGTTACCTGTGATGTTTTCCCCTAGAATAGTTATTTTCATAACTTATATCGTTCCAGGAATTTTACAACAGTTCAACAAAACACCTTATTTTAATTCTCATTTAACGTCAGGTTGTAAAACAACATACGTTACCAGCTTGCTTCACTGTGTTAGCCTCTGCAACGAGGAAAATATAGTGTCTTTCTTTTACAATCCGTCAAAGAAGTTATGTCGCTGGGGCTGTGTAGTTCTATATTTGGATAACACTGTGTCTGAATATAATGAATGGACTCGATATGGTAAGACATTTTAAGATCCCTCCTTTTTTAAATTATCGTAAATAGGGTAACGTTTTAACTAGGGATGGCAACAGGTAAGAGGTTAAGATGCCTTTCTAATGCTTGGTTCCATAATTTTGAATGCTTGGCTCTAATTATTTCTTTTCACTGATATTTCAAAAGACAATTGTATAATGGTGTCAAATAAATATCGTTAAGTTCTTGTTAATATAATTAGAGCGGTCATCGAAAGGAAATTCGGCTTTGGAAAAGACGGTGACATCTTCGTCAATATTTGACTCTTATCATCCTCCTAGTCAAGCAGTGGATGGAATTATTCCCGTCACGGTGGAACATCGTTGTTTTGTGTCCCAACGGGAACCCTCGCCGTTCTGGCAGGTTGATTTAGGAATCGTTCACAGTATCTCCTTTGTCAGGATTTACAACAGAATGGACAACACTGGTAAAATTATTGCATTTTGATGTCAATCACATGTTAAAGTTTTATGTTTTTTTCTACTGTGTCCAGTTCATTTTACATGCACATTGAAAGACGGGCCCGGCACTGTAAGCAGAGAATGCCTAAGACACGATCTATCTTTTAGAGAGGTTACAAAAAGTTTTAACGAAGAAATGCATCTATATGCTTATTTCAAGTTAAGACTTGCGATTAGCAATTGTTTACGAAAGTCATCCCAATTTTAAACAGATACGGATGGAATCATCTTCTATAAATACTTAGTTTTGTCTTTTTTCACAGGAGAAAGATTTCGAGATGCCTCCGTTTTAGCCTCTGTTGATGGCGTAACGTTTAAGACTTGTGGATCCTTTAAAGGCCCTGGACTTACACGACAAGTTATCGACATAGCCTGCGCAAAAGGCACGAGTGGACAATTTGTTAAAGTTCAAATTCTAAATAACAACTTACAGTTGTGTGAGGTACAGGTCTATACACTGTAATGTTAGTTTAGTACATTTTCAATAATGAAATACTGCAATTTATTTATTAATAAAAATGATATTCTGACTCAATGTGAAAGGATATCAGAAAAACACCCTTTCACTGTGGTCAAATATCAGAAGTTCAGTTTAACTTTAGATTTTCCTCCCCATAAAGCTGTTGTGAAAAATATATTCCTTGGGCTGTTATAAGAGACAGAGAAAATGATAAAACCATTCTGAATTAGACTAAAACTGTCAATGTTCCTCGAAATGCATGTATGTTGTTGGAATCTTTCTTAAGAATGTTTTCAATCTCACAACAATTACTTGAAGGCTTTATGTGTCTTTATGTGACCTATTATTCTAACAGACAGAGGCCAAAGGGAAAATTGAAGAAATTAAGTATAATAAACGGAGAATTCAATGTTTTGTCGTTAAATATTTAACTCATTTCACTCACGTTCGTGAGGCAGAATATTTTTTAATATATTTTGATTGTATTGTTTATTACCAAGAACCATACACTTCATAGGTTTAACGTATATACATAAATCAGGTTGTACAGTATATGTATAACAATTTCAATGTCATGTGAACATTAAGTAAAGCAGGATCATAGAAATTTAAAATTCTTACAAACTACTCATTCTAAATTCATAAAGCAGACAAAGAACAATAATATAAATTTAGTAATAGTAGTAGTGAGGATAAATTCGTTCTATCAATTTCAATTAATAACTGCTTTCAATTTTGTACATTTATAAAGATATTTTCCCAGTTTACATAACTCTGTTACATTTTTTGTCGACAACAATTGAACAAGTTTAAAGGTAGAGGGTTTTTGGTGATAATATTTCTTAATATACTCTTTTCTAACATCGGGAAAAAATGGACAAACCAGAACAAATGATACTCGTCTTAAACCTGTGACATTGAACAAAATTTATATAATCTTTCTATTCTAGGAATATTAAAAAATCTTCCTCGTTCTACCTCTAGTTGGTGAAAAGACAGATATTATTAAATGATATGCTGTACATATTTTTGTGTTATTGACCTTTTTAAATATAATTGTAAATCAAAACTATCACTTAAATACTTATGCAAAATGCACTTCGGAGAACCTTCAAAATAACTTCGTGCTTCTTGTATGAACATGTCATCCAATCTTTGTTTCACCTCAAACAAAAAAGTTTTTCATTAAGATTATTTTCCATGTATAACCAAAGCCTAAAGTATCAACAAGTTCTTTTATATGTGACAGCCAGCAAGGAAAAGTGTTTGATTCACACGCATCTAACATTTCATGGTATTTATTTCTTAAAATACAATTATCGCTAGTATTTTTTAATTTTAACCAATACTCCAGCATTCTAAATTTTCTGTTTCATTGTAATGATATAAGAGCATGCTCTACATAATTATGTTCAATTTCAAAAATGAAGTAGTCTATGAACAGTAAAGTTGATGAAAAAAGAAATAACTCAGCAGTCTCGTTTATAAAGTCATCATTTCGTAAGTTCTATTGTCGATAATGACCTTGACATCAAATACAATTTATTATTGAGATGACTGACGTTTCTCAAACTAATCATTAGTCCATTATTTACACACTGAATTGACGACGGATTTTCCCGTCATTTCCCAATCATGACAATGAGCACACGACAGGTGTGACCGGTTGGCAGAGAAAACTTACACCTCCATGTCACCTGATCCCACTTATGATGAGGTCCGTGTTTATTCTGCACCTATGCTGTACTGTTTATTGGACTTTTGAGCTTGAAAACTGTTCGTTATCCTCATATATTTCATTGTAAAATAAAAATAAAAAAATCTTTCGTGAAATGAATTCCACACCCCACTATAACACAATGAATATCCACTCTTTTTTAAAGTTAATTAACTATAGTCTAGACGTCTACTTTACATTTTGCACTTTTCTTTTTTTTACTATGGATGCTGTACAATAAGTCGTAAATTTTGTAAAAACAGTTATGATTTCTTCTATAAACTTTGTACTTTCAATCTTATAACGAAATTGAATAAAATTAAAACGACTCGAAATAAATACTTAACAAATACACATGTAATAATAATGATAATTAATTTTATCCATGGCAAATGTACCATTTACAGTGTACATTCATATTAAAAGTTTTCATTAGTCTCTGCATTACTATGTGACCATCCACTCAAAGAAACGTTATTTTTTTAAGATTGTATTCTAAAATATTCCAGTCCAATAAAAAGTGTCACAAAATTAGGTTAAAAAATTCTGGGATTAATTCCATTAATTGTTTTTATCCATCTTTGATTCTAATTTCAAAGTCACTAATGAACTTTAAGCTTTTATGGTGAATGATTCATTATGCTCTTTACATCATGACGCTATCCTTTTTTCTTCACTTCTGAATTTCAAATTAATAATACATCAATTGTAATCGTAAAGTTCAATGAAAATCAAATGAACACAACTTGACACTTTGTGTGCACTGCTTAAATAAAAAAAAAATCACAGTATTTTCATCGCAAAGTCTGATATAATTGGGGAAGATTATATAGCTCAATGTGTCTTGTGAAAGGATAAGGTTTTGATTCAAATTCAGTTATTCCTAAAATTGCAATAAATAGACAAAATGAAGTGAGACTGATCATAAGTACTCCGTAATTTGTGCATTTTTGATGTAGTACGATGATAAATAAACTCAAGTGTCGGTTTTGTATGTATTTGTATTTTTTAATCTTTTTTTTCTTTTTTTTGACGGAGGGTCCGAGTCAATGGTGCTGCTGCTTCCTTTTCTACAATTATATTTTTTCTTACATTATAAATTTCTTGACACCTTCCAAATAAGGTTCCTTGAAAATCATATAATGTTTCCTTGGGAAAGGAAAACCATTATCTTTTAAATAAGTAATTTTCATAGCAATGTAAAAAGTACTCTGGCTGATGAACAGTTATCCGACAATTAAAAACAAAAATTATTCAAAAATGTACTCATAACTTTTACAGAGGGAACATTTTTATTAAAAAACTGTTCTCAGATTAGCTTTTTACTATAGCAGGGAATGACTAAAATTTGCCAACTTTTTATTTTCCATGAAATTATTTCGATCTCTAGCTAAAAAGGTTTAGCTGATCAAATCCAAGAACATATTCTGTCAATGATGACAGGACATAGCAGGGTATGAAATGAATTATCCGTCCGACAAACAGAATTTCGATGCTGGTAATAGAAAAAAAAAGAATATACTGAATAGCTATTATGAAAGAAAATACTAGTAATACCAGTATACAACTTGAGTAGCTAAGAAATTCATTCCTAAAATAATATATCTTTAAATGGCAAGAAAATAAATAAATCGACATTAGTTCTCTCATAGAATACACAGCCAATTGTTTCTGTATAATATTTCAACCCACAGTATTATATTAACACAATAACTCAACATTATATGCACAGTTTAACTACAAAATATTCCGCCTACCTGTTAAATATTATACAAAGGGCTTGGGGCAAGTGTGACCGGTTAACGTGTGATGTGACCGGTTAACAGGTGATGTGACCGGTTAACGTGTGATGTAATACTATTCCTGGATACCTGATCCATGCAACCTTTGGAATTTCCACGGGTCATTGTTTTGGTTCAGACGTCATGGTTGTAAAAAGAAAAAAAATCAATATTTTAATAATGCCCTGGCCATTAGTATGAAAAAAATTCAGCCATTCGAGACTATTGTGAGTTATTTTATCAACTTCTTTTTTGATAGCTTGCCTCATTTATTATTTATACGCACGAAATCTTTCGTGCGTATAGCATGTTCATGCGTGTCGAATCAACTTGGGGACTTACATCCCACATGCAGGTGATGAGAGTCTTTTTTTTTTTTTTTTTTTTTTTTTTTTGCTTTTTATGTAATTGGATTTCTAAATAAGGAATGATAACGACTGAAAAGTTTAAATCGTAACGTTTATCATAAAATTTTGTCTTCAGATGACCTTCTATGTCTTTTTGATATCTTTTGAAATCTAAATCCTATGTATATTAACATACTATAATCAGAAATACATGTTATGATTTCAGAATTTGATAAAGTAAATTTTATGAATAACCTTGTTTTGAGTTTCACGAATTAACTTGGGCAAGAAATTCACGACATATTTTTGTAAAATTGAATTAAATAAATAAATATAAAAGTAATTAATTGGAGGGAACATCAATTGATAAGACAATAAAATTTACATTATGAAAAACTTATACTCAATGTAGTGGTTATACATGTACCTACAATTTATTTTAAGAACATACAAACTGTACCTTACCTTTTCAATATATTCTTAATTTAAGCTTATAGTGTCATCAGATGTTCGCAGACAAAAAAGATCAGCATACGTTTCCAGGGGTTTTTAAAAAAAACCATCTATTGTATCTTTGTATAATTGAATGAAAAATAAACAAAAATTTCTGAACAAAAAATATATTAGACAAATATCATTATTATCAAAACTTGTTAAAGAAGAACTGTACAACAACATGTACATGTAAATGTATCAAAATGTAGCGCAGAGTTCCTTAAAGTATTGGAACTCTTCAACTCTAGGGAAAAAGACAAAAAGGTCAAACTACGTTGCATATGTCCGAAGAATTTCCATTATCTGACTGAATAATAAATAGGATACTGTGGTTTCATCAGTATTCGTTGAGCACCAATTTTCGAGGATTTCGTTGCTGAGCAGATCCACGAAATCCAATGCTCATTGAAATAAGAAATATGTTTTTCATTTGTAAAGACAATGCTTTTGTCCACGAAATTACGTATCCTCAAAATCGTCTGTTTCACAAAATCCACGAAAATTGATGCCAACGAAAATTGATGAAACCACAGTATTTAAAATTAAGACTCTAGAGGCAAAAAGTCATATAAGCAGGATTTTTAAAATTAAAAATGTGTCTTTTGAGCTTGTAGATATTTTCTATAAAGTGGGGTAGTTTTTCATAGAGGACTTTTATTCATATTTAAAAAAATTATTTAGTTAAAAATTTAAGATGTTTAAGCACTTGGTGATGTACAGTACTCATAAAATAATATTTAAATTGATTTAATTTTTTGACATTTTATATCTATTTACAAATCAGAGTCTTATTTAAAGAATGATGAAAAGTAGACAAAAAATATAATATATTTACAAATCAACTAACCAGAGTCTTATTTAAAGAATGATGAAAAGTAGACAAAAATGTAATTTATTTACAAATCAAATAACCAGTCTTATTAAAAGAATGATGAAGAGTAGACAAAAAATATTAAGAAGTATGCTCAGATATCTGTTATAATTGAATCGCACGCCTACTTTATGTCACCACTCCTAGAAAGATTTGATTTACCACTTCACTAGAGTCAGAAACATAAGAGGG